CGGGTGTTTCTGATGGAACTGTGTGAAGGAGGCCTTGAGACTAACTGAACAAAGTGAAATAAAAAAACAAAAAGAAGAAGAAGGCAGCCTAGAGAGCTGGCAGTGCTTTTGTCAGCTTTTCCGCTGACCTCCCTCGATTTCTGCCTTCTGTGGTTCTGAGCCCCGTGGCCAGGCCCCCGGCCACGCTCTCCTGCTGCCTGGCTGGCTGATGGGCAGCGGAGACTGGAGGACAAGAGAGGACGGGACCCCCCAGGGACTAGCAAGTCTGTGACAGCCTGTCCCCTCCACCCACAACCTCAGACCTCCAGCAGCTCTTCACCAGGGCCAAGTGTGACAACACCGTCATCGAAGACCTCCTGGGGGTCAAGACCCACATGCGAGACCGGGACATTGGCCTCTTCCTGGGCCTCATCGAGAAGCGGCTAGTTGAGCTCCTGTCCGTGCAGGCCTACCTAGATTTTCAGGTGGAGAGGCAGGAGGTCCCGGGGGATGGGGGGCGGGGACAGGGAGCCCAAATCTTGGAAGCTGGGGGCTTGGGGATGAGCTGACCATGGGTTTATCCGCCTTCTAGAACTACAGCTCCCCCAGCTTGGTTAGCACTGCCCTCCTGGTTCTGGGCCAGAGCCCTGAGGACCTCCCGAAGAGGATGGCCGCACCCCAGCTCCCTGACAACCAGTGAGGCATGGGGCAGGAAGGAGGGCAGAGGAATTCGGTTCCATGGGGGCTGAGGGGACAAAGAATGAGGTGGAGGGTTTGGGGAGGTGGCTCTTGGGTACCAGAGGGTGAGTGTGGGTGCTCTGGAGGCACCCGAAGGAGTCGGGGCTCCAGAGGACTGAGCTGGCCCCAGGTAGACCAGAAAGGCCAAAGGCCGCTGTGCCGGCCAGAGCGCGGCTAACGGTCTCTGTCCATAGCAATGAGGAGCTCTCGGCCTTTTGTGGCTACGAGTGTCCTCCCTTCCCACCTTCCCCCCACTTTAGGGAGGACACCCCAGGCTTTGAGGCCAAAGAGGACGCCCCAATGAGCAAAGAAGAGCTGCGGAACCAAGTGACAAAGCTGGTGAGGATGGGGGCCTGCCGGGCTCGGGGCCGGACCTCAGCCTCCTTCCGGGGACGCTGACTCGCCTCCCCCGCAGCTGGAGGCGCGGGAGCTGGCGCGGGAGCAGCAGCTGAAGGAGCTGGCGGACGCCGTGCGGAAGGTCGAGAGCGCGCCCAGCGTACCCAGCCTCTCAGGCACCCAGCGAGTCTCCTCGGGCTCACCTGTGGGGATCGCTAAGAGCTCCAGCATCATGCCAGGCTCCATCCTGAGCCAGAGGACTAGTGGCATCCTGGCGTCCAGTGGGGGCCGTGCCACCGGCTCCAATGTCGGCCGAGTCACCTTTGGTGACCCCAGCTCCAGCGTAGGCCACGTGACCTTTGGTTCCACCAGCGCCATGGGGGTTCCGCTCTCCAGCCGGGGCTCAGCGGGGGGCCATGTGACCTTTAGGACCTCCAGCTCTAGTAACTACCTGGGGTCCACCGGGTACGGGGTGTCCAGCGGCGTCCATGAGAGCCACGCGGGCGCGGAGAGCAGAAGCATGGGGTCGGAATTGAGTGGAGGCCTTGGGTCCAGCAGAGGCCAAGTCTCCAGCCCCCGCCACACTTCCAGCACCCGCTGGGGCTCCACCACCAGCAAAGATTAGGGCGCCCCCCCACCCCCAGCCCCGGGGCTCGTCCTCCCTGCCTCCAGATTTCCCCATGACTCTCCATGTCTCTCTTGCCCCGCGGCTGTCTGCACCTGCCCAGCACTGTGTCCCCGTCTGTGTCTGTCCACGCCTCACCACGTGAGACCTCAGCTCTGTCTCCTGGCCCCTTTCGGTTCCCAACCCGCCTTTCCCTTCCTGTCTCCCAATTTCCTGTTCTCCCAGCTTCCCATTAAGAGTATTTCTGTCCTGGATTCGCCTCTCCCCAGCTCTGCCCTAACCTCCCAAGCTGTCCTCCCCTGCACCCCACATCCTGTTTCTGCTCCCGCATCTCTAATCCCCGCTCCTGCGTATGTCTTCCAGGCTCTCCTTTTACCTCTTGTCCCTGTCTCTGTAGCTCCTACTTCCTCACCCTCCCTGGGAGCCCCCGGTACTGAGCATCCGGGCAAGAACTGGAGGGTCAGAGTGAGCTGTGACCGTAGGAAATAAAGGTCAGAGCCTGACTTTGACTCCAGCCTGGTTACAAGTGTGTGTGCAAGCAAGCTTGAGACTTGGCAGTTTCCTCTACCTCCAGCCTGGGAATTTATGACCTTGTCCCTATTCCCATTCACTCATTCATTCATGCACTCATTTAATATTCATTTATTCATTTTAGAGAGACAGAGAAAGAGAGCATGAGTTGGGGGAGGGACAGAGAATCTTCAAGCAGACTCCCCGCTGCACGGGGAGCCGGACACAGGGCTGGATCCCACGACCCACAAGACCACGATCTGAGCCGAAACGGAGAGTCAGATGCTCAAACGACTGAGCCACCCAGGCTCCATCCTGCCCCTCCCACCCCCTTTTTTGAGACTGTCACATTTCAGGCTCTAATGAAGACTAGGATGTATCATTCAGGATAGGCTGGGTTATGCTGTAGTAACAAACAAGCCAGGATCTCAGTGGCCTCGTGCAGCAATGGCTTATTACTTGCCAGTGTTACTGGTCTTTTGTGGGTCACCTCAGGGCTCTGCCCCACATCCTTTTTGTGACCCAGGCCAAGGGAACAGCATCTCTCTGGAGCGTTGCTGGTTCTAAGGCACTGGGAAGAGGAAGTGACAAAGCCTCAGTGACTTACAGCTTCTGCCTGGATACGAAACATGTCACTTGTGCTCGCATCTTTTGGCCCAAGCAGGTCATTGGACCATGTGTAACTTCAAAGAGGAAGGATGGTGGGAAGTATAGTCTGTCTGTTGCCTGGAAGGAGAGTGGGAAAAGAATATTTGAGAATCTCCCTAACACTAGGGTCACAGAGATAAAGCAGACTATCCTCTTCCTGCTGTAGGGTGGTTTGAGAAGGAGGGGGATTAGAACACCGTGGGTCACTCTTATCCATGGAGACCTGTCCTGCTGAATTCACTGTCTAAATTTAATCTGACCAAATCCAGACAGATAATCCATCAACACCCTCCCAATCAAGGAAGGTAATACTCTGCGCCTCACTCTCCTTAAAATAGGTTGATGGTAGCACACGCCTCAAAGGCTTGTTGTGCGAAGAAATGAGTTGGTACATGGAAAGCTTTAGCAAAAGTGGGATTTTCCTGAATTAGCATATGTTAATCCCCGTCTTTAGATTTATTTACTTTTTTAAGGTTCAAGCCAGTGAGGTCTAGCACTGTCCCATTTTCACTCCTTTGCTAGATCACAGAGGTTTTAAGGAATTTTTCGCTGCAGGGGGTTTTCTCGGACCTCAGTCCGGAGCTAGAAAAGGTGTGGATTCCTGCTTTACATGAAGCTCTAAATGCCCTCCACATGGGCAGGGAGTCGGGGATAATATTGGGGCGCATCTGAGTTTGGCCTTGGCTTCAGTAACCATCCAAAATGTGCCAATTAATGTTGGCTTTGACCTTGCCTCTGGAAACATGAATTACCACCTACCTATTTCAGTGCAATAGCCCTGAACTTGTGGGTGTTTAGTGATGTTGCAATCACATAGGTTACACACACACACACACACACACATCACAGGGTCAGTTACAGGAGCAAAACATTTTAATCGGACTTTCTAACTTTTGTGCGTGCACTTCCCAACACGGGTAATCCGGAATGACAAGTTGTGTGTTCTCTACCGGTGAAATTCTATCAGTGCACAGAAGCCTTAAGGCATATTTTCACCGCAAGACTAAGAAGCCGATGGTACCCGTCATTCTTTTATTACTCAAGTGGCGAATTCTCGGTGCAGAATTTTATGTACGAAATTTATGAAGAAATTCCTAACCGAAGCACAAACATTTGAACGGTAAAGGGAGGATGTTTGTCATACGACTCTAGGAAGGATATTACTTCCTTTTTGAATCAATAAACGGTTTAGTAAAATTTAAAAGACTAGGAGGGGTGCTTGGCTGGCTCCTTCGGAAGAACACGCCATTGTTAATCTCAGGGTGGTGAGCTCAAGCCCCACACTGGGCATGGAGCCTATTAAAAAAAAAGTAAATGAGAATATGAGGAAGAATAACAAATTATGTTCTCTCTTAATTCAAATCTTTGTAGAGTATTTTGGTGTACCTTTCAGACTTTTAAAAGAAAATTCCTGTTTCGGAATTAAGCTTCCCAGTGAGCCTGTGTGTGTCTGGGCAGCCAGCAGGGGTCGCCACCTTCCATGCTCAGCCATTCCCGATGTTAGTTCGTACTTCTGGTCCGGGTACCATTTAATTCCACATGGGCTCACTAGTTTTATTTGTAAAATAATCCATCAGAGTCATGGGATTTTAATTTCCTGTCATGCATATGGGAAAAGAGGAAAAAGCTATAGACTTCCTGATCTGATGAGAAAGCTTACTTGTATTTGTAGAGTCTACACGCAGGAAGTCAGCGAGGCAGCTGCCTGTGTGGCCTTCGACTGGTGTCTTCACCTCTGAGCCTAGTTTATCTTGAAATGTGAGCTGGCGACCGCACAAGGTGGTGGACTAATACCGCTAGGGGGCGGTGTGGGTGCTTAGCCCTTTCTCCATCGTAATCTTTTGTCAGAGGAAAAAAAGTAAACCTGAAGACGGGGCGCCTGGGTGGCTCAGTGGGTTAAAGCCTCTGCCTTCGGCTCGGGTCAGGATCCCAGGATCCTGGGATCGAGCCCCGCATCGGGCTTTCTGCTCAGCAGGGAGCCTGTTTCGCTCTCTCTCTGCCTATCTCTGTCAAATAAATAAAATCTTTAAAAAAAAATCATACCGTTATTTCCTGAAGCTATGTTAATGTGGAATGATTTCTTACTGTGCATCACGGTCAGAAAAGTCTGGAAGCCAAAGGGAGACGGGCCCCAGCCTCGCACTGATTTCCAGACCCCCGCCGGATGCACTGGCGAGAGCATCTTCCTTTCAAGAAGCAATCCCACCTCGCCCTGAACAAACCTTCCCGGTCTCCTCGCGGCGCTGTGTTGGCGGGACTCGGCCGCCAGGTGGCGCGCGTGCCCCGCCGTGAGAGGGTTCTGCTCGGTCCCACAGTCCAGGCCCGGTTTCCGCTTGGTCTCGCATCGCCCGGAGGGTCCAGTTTGCCGGGGCTGGAGACCCTGGCCAGGAGTTCAGCTCCCCGAGCAGAGAGCGACAGGAGGGCTCGGGGGTTCAGGAAGGGATGCGGCCACCATGAGCCCTACATCTCCTTTCGTTCTGCAATGATCATCCATACCTCCCGCTGTGCGCTGGACAAGTCGCCCTCCCAGAGTTTGCGCCCCGGCGGGGAGGACAGACGAGAACCCACAGTCACGACCCCGCCAGTAGGGGACGCCTCCCTACCTAGGGCTTAGAGACCGGTGTGGTGCGGGACAGCCGGGGATGGAATCCCATCGCGCCCCTAGATGGCTGTGTGACCTTGGGCAGCTTGCTTAGCCTCTCTGTGCCTGTTTTCTCTGCTGTGGAATGGAAAATAGTGCCCATGGCACAGCGCTGTCCTGGGCATGAAAGTAGTTAATATTTGTAAAGCACTTAGAAGGGGCTTGGCATGTTTTTTAAACCAACTGTTACAAATTCCCATGTTGCACCTGTAGGAAGGCATGGGGCATCGGAAGGAGTCCCAAAGCCTCATTCATCCCTCCCTGCCTGCCACTCCTTGGAGTGGAGTCCAGGGATCCTGACTCCCAGGCAGAGTCCTTTTCCTCTACAAGGCGCTCCCTGGTCATGGTCTGGGCGGATGGGGAGGGGGGCCTAAATGCACCCAGATTCGTGGACAAAACAGTGAGTTGAAAAGGCAGATGGTGGGCCTGCACGGAGCCGGCCAAGCACAACAGTCCTCTCCCCCACAGGCTGGGTCCCCTGACGCCAGCTCCTCCCCAAACCCCCAAAGCTGAACTTAGCAGAGTTTTTGGGCATCAGGCAGCTGTGGACACCCAAGACCTGTGATGTCTTTTACCCTCCTTCCCCTTTTCCTGCTTTCAGGGGTTCATTCAGGCATAATTTACCGGCTGGAGAAGTCATCCGCCGTGAATATTCAGTGATTTTTCACAAACTTACAGAGTTGTGCAATTGTCACCACAGTCCAGTGTTAGATCATTTCCACCATCCCCAAAGGTTCCGTCTGGGTTGCCTGCAGTGAAATTCCTGTTCCACCTACAACCCCAGGCAACCACTGATCTGCCCTCTTGTCTCTCGATTGGCTTCTTCTGGAAATTCCATATAAAGGAATCATACAATACTGTCCAGTCTAAAATACTTTTTTTTTTTTTAAAGTAGGCTCCACGCCAAGCCTGGAGCCCAATGCTGGGCTTGAACTCATGACCCTGAAATCAAGACCTGAGCTGGAACAAGAGTCCCACACTGAGCAGACTGAGCCCCCTGGTGCTCCCTAAAACACTTTTCTGTTGAACTTAAGCAGATTTGTACAACCGAGCAGTTCTATTGCAAGAGAAACCCATGCAGAGACTTATCAAAATTGGTTTTAGCAACAATGTGTATAATATTTACAATGAGATACATGAACAAAGGTCCCTTTGATGAATTTATCTAAAAAATAACCCACGGGTCAGTGAAAATAAAAGAACCAACCATCTGAGTTAATCTTTCTTTCTCTGGGGGCACCCAGGTGGCTGAGTCGTTAAGCGTCTGTCTTTGGTTCAGGTCGTGATCCCGGGATCCTGGGATGGAGCCCCCATGGGGCTCCCTACTCGGTGGGAAGCCTGCTTCTCTCTCTCCCACTTCCCTTCCTTGTGTTCCCTCTCTTGCTGTGTCTCTCTGTCAAATAAATAAATAAAATATTAAAAAAAAACTTTCTTTCTCTGAAAAAAGCAGAACATAAAGACATATTCACTGTGATGTCATTGTATGTAGTATAAAAGTCAGAAAATGTATTCGGGGACTTATACAAAGGCAGTAACATAAAGATGAACAAGGGAATATATACTTATATGGACAATAAATCAGTATCCACTTGGGGCTTGCAAGTAACACTTATAGGTACAGACTATATTATAGGGCATTTAATAAATTGTGATGGGCCTGGATGGTATGTGCTGATCTCTTTATTGACTTTTTTTTTAGATTTTATTTATTAATTTGAGAGAGAATGAGGGAGAGGAAGCTTGAGAGGGGAGAGGTCAGAGGGAGAAGCAGACTCCCTGCTGAGCAGAGAGCCTGATGTGGGACTCAATCCGAGGACTCCAGGACTATGACCCGAGGCGAAGGCAGTTGCCTAACCAACTGAGTCATCCAGGAGCCCTTTTTATTGACTTTTAACTGTATGTTTACATTTTCATATACTTTCGGGGAGCCATATTTCCCAATTTAAAAAAAGTTTTAAGAAGAAAAATCAGTATATAAAGAGCCATGCCTCTACATAGTTCTGTCTTATTCCCAAGAAAACATGAGATAAAATCTTGTTTTGTTCTTTCCTTTAGACCAGAGCCCAGCAAAGTACAGCCTGTGGCACAGATCAGGCCTCTAAATTAAGAATGGTTTTACATTTTTTAAATGGTTGGGGAAAAAAGTAACCAAAAGAAGAAGATTTCGTGATATGTGAAATTACGTGAAATTCAAATTTCAGTGTCTGTAAATAAATTTCACATCCATTTGTTTACGTGTTGCCTGTGGCTGCCTTGTGCTATAACGATCTGGGCAGGGAAGACAGGAACAATATGGCCTATGAAGCCTAAAATGCTTAGTTCTTGGCTCTTAATGGAAAAAGTCTGCTGACCCAGTGTACACCCAGAATCTTTCTCAGTCCTCAGCCTAAGTAAAGGAGATGCTCAAGAAGATATATCTGATTAACAACAGCACAGTCTCAGAAGCCAGAATAACTTAGTTCTGAAGGTTTTCTTTTGGCCCATTAATAAGCTTGATATTTCATATATGTACTGTAGTAGACAGAAGAATGGCCCCCAACGATATGTATGTTCTAATGTCCAGAGCCTATGACTATGTTATCCTATTAGCAAAGGGGAACTAAGGTCACAGATGGAATTAAAGTTGCTAATCAGCTGAGCCTGAGATGGGAGATGATCTTGGGCTATTTGCATGGATTTGATGTAGTCAAAAGGTCCTTATAAATGGAAGAGGAAGGACTCTAACAGAAGCGTAAGAGTCAGAGGAATGTGATGTGAGAATTCAACCACTACTGCTGGTTTTGAAAGAGGGGAAAGGGCCATGAGTCAAGGAATGCAGGTGGCTTCTAAAAGCTGGAGAAGGCAAGAACATGAATTTCCCCTAGAGCTTCCAGGAAAGAAGATAGCACCATAGACACGTTGATTTTAGCCCAGTGAGGCCCATTTTGGACTTCTGACTGCCAGACATGTGAGATGATAAATTCAGGTTGTTTAAAGCCACTATATTTGTGACAACTTGTAACAGCAACAACAGGAAACTAACACAGGCACTAAACCCTGAACTTGACAATGAAAACACCTGCTTTTAAACTCAAAAGAAGCTGTTTACATCAGAAAGTTCCCTTACCTTCTGTGCTTCAATTTCCTCAGTTATGAAAGGGAGATGAAAAGCATTTATTCGTGGAGTGGTGATGATAAACAAACATAGATTAAACAGGAAACTCACATAATAAAGAAAATGGCTAAACTCCTATCTAATAAGATTGTCTACAAATACATTGAGCAAGAATTGATAAAGCTGTTAAGACTTTGATAATCTACTTCTCTAGTGGGATGTTATATGACAATCTTGCTCAGTAAAAGACGGATGAAGACTCAAAAAAAAAAAAGAGCTCTTATTTGTAAGAGCTCTTTCCCATCTTGCAAGAGGGCGGGGGAAGAAGCTGAGAAGCCAGATACCAAGGAGAAGAAACCTGAAGCCAAGAAGGCTGATGGCGGTGGCAAGGCTAAGAAGGGTAACCAGAAGGCTAAAACCCCGAAGAAGGGGAAGCCCCACTGCAGCCGAAATCCTGTCCTAGTCAGAGGAACTGGCAGATACTCCCGATGGGCTATGTATTCCAGAAAGGCCATGTACAAGAGGAAGTATTCGGCAGCTAAATGCAGGGTTGAAAAGAAAAAGAAGGAGAAGGTTCTTGCTACCGTCACAAAACCAGTTGGTGGTGACAAGAACGGTGGTACCCGAGTGGTTAAACTTCGCAAAATGCCTAGGTATTATCCTACTGAAGACGTGCCACGAAAGCTGTTGAGCCACGGCAAAAAATCTTTCAGTCAGCATGTGAGAAAACTGCGAGCTAGCATCACCCCTGGGACCATTCTGATCATCCTCACTGGGCGCCACAGAGGCAAGAGGGTAGTTCTCCTGAAGCAGCTGAGCAGTGGCTTGCTACTTGTGACTGGACCTCTGTCCCTCCATCGAGTTCCTCTGCGTAGAACACACCAAAATTTCGTCATTGCCACTTCTACCCAAATTGATATCAGCAGCGTGAAAATCCCCAAACATCTCACGGATGCTTATTTCAAGAAGAAGTTGCGTTTAGCCCAGACACCAGGAGGGTGAGATCTTCGACACTGAGAAAGAGAAATACGAGATTACAGAGCAGCGCAAGGTTGATCAGAAAGCTGTGGACTCACAAATTCTGCCAAAAATCAAGGCTGTTCCTCAGCTTCAGGGCTACCTCCCCTCTGTGTTTTCTCTGACAAATGGAGTTTACCCTCACAAATTGGCGTTCTAAATTTCTGACAAAGAACCTAATTAAATAACTGATCCAAAAAATTTTTTTTATTTGTAAGAGAATGTAAAACACTCAAGGAGCTTGACCAATCAGACATGTACCGTACCCTGATTCCACCCAAAACCAGTGAAAATCAGTGTTTTGAAACACACAAGAAGCAGTTTTTAAAACACTGGCCCTATACTAGTTTTATCATTTAACTCTTGAGTTATAAAATGCTTCTTACTCAAACTAGGGGATCACCTCACATAATAAGTTTAGAAATGAAGCCTGTTGCAGCCACAGACACCCCAAAACATGCTACAGGGGAGTGGGGGCTCTTGTGTTTTGAGGGTTGTGTTATTGAGGCTATAACCTTCATCTCTATGATCCTCAAGTTGCTTGTGCTAATTCAGTGAACTTCATCCAACTTCCAGAGAGTAACTGGGAAAGAGAGCAGAGGGAACTTAGTTAAGAGAAAAAGAATGACAAACACTCTCCTCTTTCCAACAGCTTTCTAGGCATCCAAGCCAATGAATTCTGTCAAAGATGTAAGCTCTACCTACCATCAGTTATGAGAAAAAGTAGAAAATGCATTTTAAAACCTTCAACAGGGGCGCCTGGGTGGCTCAGTGGGTTAAACCTCTGCCTTTGGCTCAGGTCATGATCCCAGGGGTCCTGGGTTTTGAGCCCCGCATCTGGCTCTCTGCTCAGTGGGGAGCCTGCTTCCTTCTCTCTCTGCCTGTCTCTTTGCCTGCTTGTGATCTCTGTCAAATAAATAAATAAAATCTTAAAAAAAATTAAAAAAATGAAAACCTCAACAGTGCTAACTCTGGAAAAACAAGTCTATGTACCCTTAGTAAAGAGGATGAGAAAAATGGTCAGATAATTGAGAGAATTAGCTGCAGGAGATTGAAACGATCATCAAAACACGTGTCTCACATCAACATCATGAAGACCACATCCTCTGACCATAAAGCAGTCAAATCATGACCAGTAAAAGCCAACTGACCAAAAAAAGCCTTATCAGGAAGCACACTACACCCCAATCTGAATTAAATGAGGTTTAAACAGATGTTCACGTTGGAGAGACCATCTGGATGTAAATTCTAACAAATCTGCTACGTACTGAAATTCACATGGCAGAGTTGCAAGGGCACATAGGGGGATTTTCATCACCTTGTAGGATTTTATTAGAGAAGAAAAACTGGTGAATCACCAATTTTGGTCCCAGTTGAAGGATGAGACGATGTAACAGCAGCAATCTTAACATTTACTGTGTTTCTCTCCAACTATGTACTCATCTTACAGAAGGCTTTCTTCTATCTATTACAATCACAGTACCTCTCTGGCTGTAACTTAAGGAGTAAGTGTTCAAAGGGGTCTTTCCCACATTCCTTACTCTGCAGTGTGAGTTCTTACAGGGATAATGTTGGGATTATGTTGAGACAATGTTGAAGGCTTTCCCACATTCCTTAGATTCATGGCATTTCTCTCCTGTGAGAAGAAATGTCTATTGAAGATGAAAGAAGGGGGCACCTGGGTGGCTCAGTCCATTAAGCATGGGACTCTTGATCTCAGCTCAGGTCTTGATCTCAGGGTCGTGAGTTCAAGCCCCATGTTGGACTCCATGCTGGGCACAGAGTCTGCTTAAAAAAATATTACTAGTTAATAAAAAACGAAAAAGTCATAAAGCTAGAAGGTGTAAAATCTTTCTAGACCTTACCTTCACAAGATGTGAATACGTAAATGTGTGAATTCTCACATTTTCATCCTTCAGGGAAGACTTGAGTTCCCTTAACATGTCCTTATGTGCTTGGTATTTTGAGAAAATGAATGAAGCTTTTCTCACATTCCTTTCATTCACAGGACCCCTCAACTGTGAATTTTAATTTTTATCTATTTATTTTTAAAGCTCGTTTATTTATTTAAACAATCTTTATGCACGACATGGGGCTCAGACTCACAACCCCGAGATCAAGAGTCGCACACTCTCCCCATTGAGCTGACCAGGCATCCCTCAACGGTGAGTTTTCAGATGGTTTTTAAATCTGTGAGAATTGGTGAAGCCTTTCCCACATTCCTCACATTTATAGGGCTTCTTCCTAATGTGCTTTTTTAAGTGTTTGTTAAGGTGTAAGGTATATCTAAAGGCTTTCCCACAGGTCTTGCATTCATAAGGTTTCTCTCCGGTGTGAATTTCCATGTGTTTCGTAAGGAATGACAGATGCACGTAACTTTTCCTACAATCTTGACATATATATCTCCCCTCTCTGGTCTTAGTCTTCCTGTGTGAGTCAGAATTTGCAATGTGGACAGAGGTTTTCTCACCTTGATTCTTATGATTTGCCTCTGCCGTATCGGGTTGCCTCTGAACATCATGGGTTGAGCTATTTTGGAAGGTGATTTCACATGGATTAGACTCGTAAGTCTTCTCTTTCATGGGAGTCTTGCATAACCTAAGGGAAATGTCTTCCTCAAAGGTTTTTCCAAATGGATCCCATTCATGGATGTCCACCCCCCTGCAGACATTATTACGTGTCTGAAGCACATTGTTCTGACGGTCAGTCCATATTTTGGACTCTGGCTCCATCTGATGTCCTACAGATGGGGTCGTCTCAACACTCTGCTGCAAGACTCTATCATTTTTGTTGTTTCTGTAGATCTTTTGATGACTGGTTAGGGCAGGATTTTGTTTCAGAATATCTGAGCCATGTTTCTGGATACGGTTTCCTATAGAATCTCTCCATGAGCTAGGCAGAGAGTCGTCCCTCATATCATGAGAGTCATGGATTCTAACCGGAGACTCATCTTTTTCGTGTACAGTGGCAACTTGCTTCAACTTTTGCTCCCTTTGCGTGAGTGGTTCGTCTGTTTTGTGGCATTTCCAGTCTTCTCCCAATTGGGACGGCCGGGAAGCATGGCTCACAGTGCACACTCTCTTTGCTTCAACAGGTGTCTTTTTAGCAAGAATGTCCGGCTGAGGGGTTGAGTTTTTGGTTTGATGTTGCGTTAGCAAATCTGAAATAAAGGGACACAAACGTTAAGTTCTTTGTTGACAGTTAAGGTGGGTTGGAGATGCTAAAACAGGCAAACGCCTGTGTGGGTTTCTTTTCAAACATTCACTCAGCATATGTGAGGGGGATGTGAAAGGGAAGGAAGACCAAGCAAGCGAAGCAGAAAGACATCAGGGACTTGGGCCGCATCAGGAGCTTGACCGTGGTGATGATGGGTTCTGTGGGGATTAAGAGCGTAATCAGGAATGCCACGTGGGCAAGAATGGGACAAAGAGTCTGTCATGGACTGAATTTGTGTCTCCTACAAAACTCTATGTTGAAGCCCTAACTAACGCCATGGGATGATATTTGCAGGTGGGGCCTCTGGGAGTAATGGGGTTGAGACAAGCTAGGACAGTGGGGCCCCCATGATGGGACTAGCATCCTTACAAGAGCCGGGGAACAGAACTCACTGTCTCTCCACCATGTGAGGACACAATGAGAAGGTGGCCATCTGCAAACCAGGGAGAGAGACCTCACTGGGAACGAACCTGCTGGCTCCTTGACCTGGAACTTTCCAGCCTCCAGAATGTGAGAGAAATGTCTATGTGTAAGTCACCCAAGCTGTGGTGTTCTGTCATAGCAGCCCTAACAGACCAAGACAGAGTTCATGTGTAATTTTAAACATGAAGGGGCAGGGCCCCTGAGTGGCTCGGTCGGTTAAGCATCTGCCTTCACCTCAGGTCATGATCCCTGGTCCTGAGCTCGAGCCCCACATTGGTCTCCCTGCTCAGCGGGAAGTCTGCTTCTCCCTCTCTCTCTGCCTCTCCCCAGCTTGTGCACTCTCTCTCAAATAAGTAAATAAAATCTTAAAAATTAAAAAAAATTGCAATTAAATTCACTTAACATAAAAGTAACCATTTTAAAGTGTACCCTTCATTGGCATCAAGGACATTGGCCATGTGGTGCAAGAGCAACTCTACTCAGTTCCAGGACATCTCCATCACCCCAAAAGGAAGGAGAACTACTAGACCACGAAGCGGCACTCCCTGTTCTTCCCTCCAGCCCTTGGTAACCAGGAACTGGCTTTCTGTTTCTATAGATTTGCCTATGCTAAATATTTCATATAAATGAAATCAGGTAATACATTGTCTTTCGTGTCTGCCTTTTTTCACTTAACATGATGCTGCGTTTGAGGTTCGTCCATATTGCAACCTGTTTACCATATTTCATTTGTACATTCATCTGTTGATGGACAGTTGGTTGATTCCCACATTGTGGCTGCTGTGGGGTGTGCTGCTAGGAACACACCTGCATCTGTTGGAACATCTGCTTTCAACCCCTTGGGTAGATACTAAGGAATGGAATTACTGGGTCACACAGTAATTCTACATTTAACTTTCTGAGGAGCCACAGCTGTTTTGCACATGGATGAAACGGATTCTTCATCAACATTTCCACATTGTAAAATCCTTCCTCGTAAGGATTCATGTCTGCCCAGCAGGCTGGTGCACAAGGTAAAATTCCCCCGCACCATTCCCGGACCAGCTTCTTGCTCCAAGTGGGAGACCAGACTCAGTTTGCCTAGTTGAGATGCCCGGTCACGGGCAATGCAACAGTGCATGACTCAAGAGAGTAGGGCCAGGGCTTACCACGAAATAGGGGTGCACATTGTGGTCTGCAGGGTTCTGGAGCTAAGTAAGTGTGAGTAGGGAGCAACAAAGTGGTCCCTCTGTTTTCCTCATGAATGCACTGAAATGCTCTGTTCTCATGTTCATTCACCTAAGGACCTCCCGAGGGCTGTTAATCAGGAAGAGAATAAAAATGCAATGCAATGGACAGATTTCCTGTCTCATGGGGTGAACTCTAGTCCACCCCTTGGGGGGCGGTGGCCCCGTCTTGGTTATTCAGCAAGTCCCATCCCATTTCTCAGCACAGCTCTGGGAACCCAGGAAGGGGTCTGACTCGCATTTGTCCTGGCCGTGATCATGTCTGGGAGGGTGGGATGCTCACCCAGAGAGGCCAGGTTCCTGCAGTTTTCCAGCATCACGTCTCTATAGAGAATTCTCTGCCCGGAGTCCAGGAGGGCCCACTCCTCCCTGGTGAAATTCACGGCCACGTCTGTGAAGGTCACAGGGTCCTAGAACAACACACCCATTTGGGGGCACTGTTATGAGCTGAAATGCGTCCCCTCCCAAGATATGCCAATGTCCTAACCCCCAGGACCTGTGAATGGGACAAGATTTGGAAAGAAGGTGGTTTGAAGATGTGAAAGAGGTACCATGAGGGGGCACCTGGGTGGCTCAGTCATTGGAATGTGTGACTCTTGATCTTGGGGTTGGGGGTTGGAGCCCCACATTGGGTGTAGAGATTGCTTAAAATCTTTAAATAGAGGGGAAAAAAAGCTTAGCAGTACAAAAGATCTGTCTAACCATTTGCTGTTAAATCATGGAAAGTGTGAACACGCATAATACAGGGAAAAGAAAATGCAATCAAGCCTTGACCCACCATCCACCTGTTTCCACCCATCCCCACCTCTTCCCATCCCTCTTCACTGCCCTTCTCCTATCGCATTATTGTCAACAAAACTCCAGCTATCATAGCATTGCATCCTTAAATATGTGCATTTCCTATCTCTAAAGCATGAGGAATCTTTTAAAATGTGGCCACAAGGGCACCTGGGTGGCTCAGTGGGTTGAGCCTCTGCCTTCGGCTTGGGGCATGGTCGCAGAGTCCTGGGATCCAGCCCACATCGGGCTTTCTGCTCGGCGGGGAGCCTGCTTCTCCCTCTGCCTGTGTCTCTGCTTACTTGTGATCTCTCTCTCTCCCTCTGTCAAATAAATAAATAAATAAATAAATAAATAAATAAATAAATAAAAATCTTAAAAAAGTAATACAATAAAATGTGGCCGCAACATTACCATGCTGAGAAACATGAGCAGTAATGTTTTTATAGAATCAAATACCCTTGTCGGTCTCCGAAGACCCCCATACGATATTCGGTCACTTAAGCCTTTTAAAATCTGTAACACTAGCTGCAGAAGAGTGCACAATGAGCTTCTTTTCTCATTTTCATGAATTAAAGGAAAAATAAGGAACCTTGAAAAGACAGGCAAGGATCTACAGAAGTGGCTGCTTCCGGGCAGCCAGGAGCCTCGAACAGAGCAAGCCAGGACAGATGGAGGAAGCCTTCAAGGTCTACCCCAACCAACCTGCAATTTTTTAAACACACTGATCTATTATTACATATTCCAGAAATACATTATCAAGCGAAACACAACCTACAATTAAATAATTTACAATGCAATTGATGAGGTTGGCTTTTTTTTTTTTTTAACCTTGAAGTCATCTTTTCCAACTAAAATAAAAATTCCTTCCACCGGAGAGATTTAATTAATGGCTTTCATATTTCAAAATTCCCTAGGGGTGCAAATGATATGCCAGATGTCAGAGTACCCACATCTTCTTAAATACACTGATTCTGGGGGGCGTGGGTGGCTCAGTCGGTTAAGTGTTTGACTTCGGCTCAGGTCATGATCCTGGGGTCCTGGATCGAGCCCCACATCGGGATTCCCTGCTGGGTGGGGGGAGCCTGCTTCTCCCTCTGCATCTGTCGCTCCCCCTGCTTGTGCTTTCTGTCTCTCTCTCAATCTCTCCCACAAATAAAGAAAGAAAATCTTTAAAAAATATATACCGAATCCATTTCTTAAGAAACAGACATCCATCCTACTTCGGCTTCAAAATGTCAAACATTTATGTGGGGTCCCCAAGATCCCCTCGCATTCACTACTCCAGGGTTCACGCGAACTCGGGTTTTCACAAAACAAACAGAAACACGACCCTCAGTATGACAAAGTTACTAAGTGTCTGGGCAAGCTGGCGATTATAGCCAGCCCTGTCACCGTGAACACAAGGCTGCAAACCCGCCCTACCACTCATCAGGTGAAGAGATCAGACCCGGAGGAAACCAGCAGCAAAGTCAAAAGGACTCTTCCCCACCCGCCCCCTTACTTGTTTGCTAACTTACCGATAAACTTTGTTCCCTAAAAATCACAGCCCTCAAAAATGCTGCTGTTTGACATCCTATCAGTAAGAAAAGTACATCCCACTCCTGCCTGGGGGGAGTCCTGAGTCACATGGACCGGGAGGCAGCCTCCAACTGCAACTCTGGGCAGACTTTCAGATAAGGGGTTTGGGACACAACATTCCACCTCTATGTGACCTTGTAGTTTCCAAGGGACAGTCTGGTCCAGATCATTCCTTTGCACGCAGTTCAGCCTGAGCCTATCTAAGCCAGCATGCGGTGACATTTACCCTGAATTCCATCCTCCCCCCTTCCTCCCATCCCCCTCCCCGCCCTGCACCTCTTGATCCTGTAAGGAATGAATGCCTCCATCCCTTCATTTGCAAGGTTCCTCTCTGGGGTGGATCTCTGTCTCTCTGTCCTTGCAACAAACCCATATAACTGGGGCTCCGGGAGAGTCCCTGGTGATCTCAGACACCCTGGGGTTTGGAACGGTGGGAAAAGCAAAAAACAAAACCAAAAGAGAATTCATAGTTCTGGCTGGGCTCAGGTAAGCAGGTAGAAGGAAAACATCCACATCGGGTGATGAAACACCTTCCCACTGCTGCCCAGAGCTTCCCTGGAAACAGACTTTCCTGGAGTCGGTGAGGACAAACAGACAACTTGTTGAGACCAGGGGATTTGATCCTGACCACTCCCCTGGAACTCCTTTCACCTTGGCCTTTTATAAATGCCCTCAACCGAGACCTCAGTTCCCGTGCTCCTGGATCCTACTCAAATCCCGCAACCCTTTCCCCAGAAGAGAACCCCAATGGCCATCCCCTCGATCTGATTGTGCCCAGAATTTTTCAGCTCGCCCTAATCACAACGGACTCCAAGACTTACCTGGATCCAAACAGCAACCCTTCACCTGGCCCGCTGCAGTCCCGCTGCAGCCCCACCTGCGCCGCAGGCTGGTGTCCCCCAGCTCCGGCCAGGGAGTGCCCCTTGGGGCAAGGTGAAAGGCGCATTTAGGGCTCGACGCGTGGGCCACTCTCGGCCTCTTCTCTCCTCCAGGACGGAGAGAATCAGGCTTCCCCGGACAACAGCTCCCTACCCCCCGGAACCCGACCCGGTTCCCCCAGCAGTGTGGACTCCGCGACAACCGCGCACACTCACCATCTCAACAACACCGGCTTCGGGACCGGCCTGCGGGCAGCGCAGCCTAAGGGCTCGTTCCCTGTGCGAGGCAGAGGGTTGCAGGGCTGCGGACAGGAGGAGTGGGACTGTAAAAATAACTAAAGAAACAAATAAAACAAAACGACGGCCCACCCCAGCCCCCCCCCAAGGAAGGATCGACGACAGAGACTCGTCCTGCCCAGGCCCTTTGTACCTGCTTCCGGACCCCCTCCTCAAAATGGATGGTTTGAGGGATTGGGTAGGGGCGGGAGGAGGAGGAGCCACAGGAAGGGGATCCCGGGACCTGCACCCCTGCCGGGCCCTGGGATTCCCCCCTTCCACCCTGGGGTCCGCAGAACTTTCTCCCCAGCCACTTCTGGTCCTTGGGGGCGCCCGGAAATGAGAGCCACTTCCCAGCCAAAGGAGGACTTCTCAGAGCTGGAAAAGGACAGTGTGGTGGAAGGGTCCCCGGTTTCCCTCTTGGGCCCCCCTCCCTCTTTTCCTTTTGCAACCTTCCCCACCCGGTGAGCGCTGGCTGACGGATAACTACAAGGTTTGCGCGAACAGTCCTCCGAAAATACTATTCTGACAGTTACTGGGATTGAACCAGCGACCCTCCGGCGAGGAGCAGGAGCGACCTCCGCTCCCAAATTCCAGCGAAAGAAAACAGCCGCCTAAAATTCAGCGGGCGAGGGTCCCGACCCAGCTCCCCTCGCTGCTGTCAAAACGCCTGGATCCGGAGTCACGTGATCTTCGGGCGCCCTGCGAAACCCTTCGGTGGGATAAAGCGTTTAACCTCAATTGGAGAATTTATTCTGGATGGGCCCCGACAAGACCTGATTTACATGCCCCCTCCTCCCGCCACCCTGTCACCTCCCCTCCACCCTCCGGTCCTCGCCCTCCGCCCCTCCCCCAAAGACTGAGGCCAGCCCAGCCCATTCCTCTGACTCTAGGAAAGAAGGGCAGGGAGCCACAAAAAGTCCATTAAATCAATTAAATTTGTCTTAAATGTCTCATTTCTAGTCATGCCATTCTACTCTAAAGCTTTCACAGTCTAATAATAATATATACCTACACTCCTAAACTCATTTTTCAAAAAATAATCTTTACGCCCAAGGTGGGGCTCGAATTCACAACCCCTTCACCCCCCACCCCCGCAAGATCAAGAGAGATCAACAGTCCCACGCGCTCCGCTGACTGAGCCAGCTGGGTACCCCCTAAACTCGTTTTTTTTAAAAAAATACTTCATTATTTTTAAAGCAGTATTAGGTTTACAATAAAACTTAGGCGGTACAGAGATTTCCTGTATCTCCCCGGCCCCAAACATGGTCTCCCTCCTTATCAACATTACTCTCCAGGATGCCTTTTTTTTTTTTTTTTTTTAAACCAGAGATGAACTTACATACAGTAATCAGCCAAAGCCCATAGTTTGCCTTGGGGTTCACTCTCAGTAGTGTACGCTGTATGGATTTGGACAAATGTATGATGACATCTATCCACCACTGTAAATTCACACCGAGTATTTTCACTCTCCTAAGAATCCTCTGCGCTGTCTCTTCCTCTCTCTCCCTCTACCCCCACCTACACTACAATCAGTTTCTGTTGTGATAAAATATACATAACACATGAACCCTTGCACTATTTTAAGGATCTAGTTCAGTGGCATTAAGCCCATTCCCACTGTTGGGCAATCATCCCCACTGTCTGACTGCAGAACGTTTTTCTCTTTCCAAACGAAACGTCTGTATCTATTAAACACTAAATCCTGCCAATTGCAAGAAAACCGACCTTTATTCACCATAGCCTGGGAAGGAGTCTTTCCGATTGCTCTGAAGAGGTCCTCCAAAGCTTGTTAGCTGCAGAAGGGAGAGGGGTATCGGCTTGCAAGCATTTCTCTAAGTACTTGAGCATCACAAGGTATAACTTGTTACAGTTGTTAAAATTAAGGTTTACCGGTTTCCACTGAGACACAAGAAAGACCCTCAGGTCATCTTAATACATTATGTTTTTTATCTGATTGTTTAAAAGTGTTGCTTGCATGCCTCTGTTTAACTGTTGTTTATTTTTCTGGTTTTGTTTCTTCCTTGAGGTCACTTGAGAGGGTCACGGAAGGCTGACATCAGTCACTTAGCACAATTTTGTTTTACTTTTTATTTTATTATATATATATACATATATATATAAAGTTTTATTTTATTTTTATTTTTTAAAGATTTTATTATTTATTTGACAGACAGAGATCACAAGTAGGCAGAGAGGCAGGCCAAGAGAGAGGAGGAAGCAGGCTCCTTCCGGAGCAGAGAGCCTTCTGGGGCTGGATCCCAGAACCCTGGGATCATGACCTGAGCCAAAGGGAGAGCCTTTAACCCACTGAGCCACCCAAGCATCCCTATTTTTTATTTTTTAAAAATATTTTATTCTCTTAATATGCCTGAGAGAGAGAGAGAGAGAGCGCGAGAGGGCACGAGCACAAGCGGGGGGAGCTACAGGGAGAGGGAGAAGCAGGCTCCCCAAGGAGCAAGGAACCAGATGCAGGATTCGATCCCAGGACCCTGGAATCATGACTGGAACTGGAGGCAGATGCTTAACCGACTGAGCCACTGAGGTGTCCGAACTTAGCACAATTTTAGTTCATGTCCCCATTTCCTTTTTCCTCCAGCCCCTAATAACCTCTACTTGCCTTCTGCCTCTATGACTCTGACAATTCTAAGTATCTCATAGAACTGGACTCATATGACACTTGTCCTTTCGTGTCTGGCTTTTTAATTTAATTTTTAAAAAAGATTTTATTTATTTGACAGAGATCACAAGTAGGCAGAGAGGCAGGCAGAGAGAGAGGGAAGCAGCCTCCCCACTGAGCAGAGAGACTGATGCGGGGCTTGATCCCAGGACCCTGAGATCCTGACCTGAGCTGAAGACAGAGGCTTAATCCACTGAGCCACCAGACACCCCATTTTATTTAATGTTTTCAAGGTTCATCCATGTCACGGTGTGTATCCATGCTTTGCTTCTTTTTAATTGGTGAATAATATTCCACCATAAGATTACACCACATTGATTTATCCCTTCATCCGTTCATGGAATGTGGGTTGTTTTCCCCTTTGGGCTTTTGTGCATTATGCTATAAACACGGGTGTTCAGGGACCTCTGGCTAGCTCAGTTTGTGGAGCGTGGGACTCCTGATCTCGAGGTTTCGATTTGGATCCTCAGGTTGGTTGTAGAGATTGCTTTAAAAAAAAGTCTTAAGGGGCGCCTGGGTGGCTCAGTGGGTTGAAGCCTCTGCCTTCGGCTCAGGTCATGGTCCCAGTGTCCTGGGATCGAGCCCCACATCGGGCTCTCTGCTCAGCAGGACGCCTGCTTCTCTTCCTCTCTCTACCTGCCTCTCTGCCTACTTGTGATCTCTGTCTGTCAAATAAATAAATAAAATCTTAAAAAAAATAAAAAATAATAAAATAAAATAAAATAAAATAAAATAAAAATTAAAAAAGTCTTAAGAGGGGCACCTGGGGGGCTCAGATGGTTAAGCATCTACCTTCGGCTCTGGTCATGATCTCCAGGTCCTGGAATGAGCCCCAGATTGGGCTCCCTGCTCAGTGGGGAGTCTGCTTTTCCCTCTCCCTCAACCCCTCCCTTTGCTTGTCCTCTCTTTCTCAAATGAATAAATAAAATCTTAAAAAAAAAATTAAGAAAAAAAGTGGGTGTACAAATACACAAATTTTTTTTTTAAAGTTAGTGTTTTGTTTTGTTTTTTAATTGCCTTGGAAATGTGGGAAAGCATTGCATTTCCTTTTTTTAAAAGATTTTATTTATTATTTGACAGAGAGACACAGAGACAGGGAACACAAGCAGGGGGAGGGGGAGAGGGAGAAGCAGACTTCCCGCTGAGCATAGAGCCTGATGCGGGGCTCTATCCCAGGACCCTGGGATCATGACCTGAGCTGAAGGCAGATGCTTAATGACTGAGTCACCCAGGCGCCCCTTTAACTTAGTGTTTCAATGTTATAATTTATTTTAAGACTTCTGCTTTCCACTCTTCGGTATCATTATACTTAAAGCACATTTCTATAAGCTCTGTAGTAAGTGAATTTTTATTTTTATTTTTTAATAACTGAATCTGAAAAATCCCATCTGAAAAACTTTGTCTTTGAATTGGAGTCAATCCATTTATATTTAATGTAGTTACTGATATAACTGAATTTAAATCTGCCGTTTTATAATTTAATTTATATGTTCTTAATGTCCAGTGTTCCTTTTTTTACTTTCTTGCCAAATCTTGGGTTATTTTATAATCCCTCTCTAAATTATTCAATCTTTAAAAATTTTTTTCACTTACCCTAGAGATCTCAAAATACATTTTTTTTAAAGGATTTTATTTTTAAGTAATCTCTACAACCAACACTCAGGGCTCGAACTCACAATCCCAAGATCAAGAGTCACACGCCCCACTTACTGAACCAGCCAGGTGCCCCAGAAAATACATTCTTGACATAAATATCTAGCATATAATTATACATCAAAGATAATGTAAAGACCTTAGAATTTAAATTCACTTACTCCCTCACAATTTATAGGCCTACCTGTGTTATGTGTTTTGGAACAGTTTGCATTTTAAATCCTATATGATGTTATCCTTGTTGTTTTATACAACCAACATTAATTTAAATTTCCCTTGATATTTATTCTTCTCTTTGTGTCTTTGGTCCTTTCTGCATCTTTGTTTCCATCTGCATTTCTTTTCTTTTCTTTTTTTTTCCCCTTAGTGTAAGGCAGCTGGTGATAAATTCTCTAAAATTCTTGCCTCAAAATGGTCCATTTCCTTCTTATTCTTAGGGATATTTTTACTGAGTATAGAATGCTGGGTTGGTACTTTCTCCTTCACACTTTCAAGGCATCACTCTGAACCTTCTCTGTGGTCCGATCTTTTTATTGGGAATTCAGCTGTCACTATAATTTTTATTCCTTTAAAGGTAAGAGGCTCTCCTTAGCTCCCTCCCCAATACAGCCAAGATTTTTAAAAATAGTTTATTTTATTTATCTTTTTAAAGATTTTATTTATTTATTTGACAGAGAGAGAGATTACAATTAGGCAGAGAGGCAGGCGGCAGTGGGGGGGGTGGGGGGTGGGAAGCAGGCTCCCTGCTGAGCAGAGAGCCTGATTCGGGGCTCGATCCCAGGACCCTGAGATCATGACCTGAGCTGAAGGCAGAGGCCTAACCCACTGAGCCACCCAGGCGCCCCTAAAAGTTTATTTTTAAATAATCTCTGTACACCCAACCTGGGGCTCCAAATCACAACCCTGAGATCAAGAGTCAGATACTCCACTGACTGAGCCAGCCCCCTTTTCCTTTTCTTTTTTATATCCCCTTCACTTATACTTCACACATCATTTCGGATTTTCTTCCCTTACCAACCCTCTAGGTCTTTGCTCTTTACTTCAACTGTGTATAATCTGAGATTATTCATAAAAATGAATAAAAAATTAGTTCTAAAGATGATTTTCATCTCATGCATCACCCCAGACTTTCTCTGCTGTTGCAGGGAGCAGTCCTGGGGGACCCCGTGTGGCCATTAACGCTGTCGTGTGTGCAAACCAGAACGTGGGAAGGTGTCAGACTCTCAGCATCATCTGACTGAGGGGTGACGGGAACCAGTGAGGAAAAAGCCGCAGCCGTTTGCCCTCTGTTGGAGCCCTTCAGGGTACGTTCTATGTGGTTCCTCAAAAGATGTCCAGAATTGCCATTGCACTGCTGTTTAAAGAGGGAACCAGTTTGA